AATATATAATTTAATGTTTAAAATGTTAATATTTGCTATTGTGCAATGAAGTACAAATATTTTATAATCTAATGCTTTGTAAATTTATTTTCCAAAACGGGTGGATGCAGACGACATTCGATTGTAATGCGCATGTGTCATTAGACAAGGACAGATAGTGCCACAAATTTGTTCTCTCTTTCTAGAATAGCAATAGGTTTTGGCCTGGCTCCCCTTCTCTATTTATATTATCTCTGGATGGTGATCCATGCATAAAATAAATCAACAAAAACACTGCTAACAACTTCATAGAAAAAAATCGGTATTTTCGAAGGGCAGAAAATAACAGATATAATTAACGAAATTTTGTATTCTGTGTCAGGTTACTACCGCGTGAACTATGATGTAGAAAATTGGGAACTGTTGATAAAAGAGTTGAACAAGGGGAACGAGACCAAAATACACGTGCTGAATCGTGCACAGATGATTGACGACGCGTTCAACTTAGCTCGTGTTAACAGTTTGAATTACACAGTTGCTTTGAACTTGGCCCTTTACTTAACGCACGAGGTCGATTACATGCCCTGGCAACCGGCGTTCAGGCACTTGAGCTTCCTGAAGAACTTGTTACGCAACTCCGAAAAATATCACACTTTCACGGTAAGAACTGCAATTACAAAATCGAAGATGCAAAATGGCATTTAATTCGTTTCTTCGATAAACGCAAAGCCTTCGCGAGAGTGACTCGTCATTAGATTGCGGCTGTTCATACACTTCTGGGAATTTTGAATAATTTAAAGTAATACAGTATGCAGTAAAATATAAGGAAATATAATATATTCGACGTAAAATACAAAATTATAATATTTAAAGGAAAAAATAAATGTTTATATGCATTTCGATTCTGTACTTCTACTTATAAAAAACAGGTATATGCGAGAACATCCGCAATCTACTTGTTATACAGGTTTATTGTTGAACTGGAAGGGTCTGGTTTAAGGTGGTAGATAAATAGTCAAGTAAAACCATTGTAATTATGATTCTTATCCATTTTATAACGTTTATGTTACTAAATGGACCGTTTATTTTGAAAGTGGTGTAAGTCCATTTTTGAGAAAAATGAGATATCACGTAATTCATGCTAAATTAAGCATAAAAATGACTTACACCACTTTCAAAATAAACGGTCCAAATATCAGCATGCTCTGATTATGATTTAACTTTCGCCTTTCCAAAGAGGTTGTTGATCCAGAAATATTTTTATATTATCAGGACGAAAGATCCGTAACACCATATTTTTAACTAATTTAATGGTTAACATTGACATTCTGTCTAATTG